GTTCATCCCGGTTATAAATATCTCCATGCCAGCAGCTTTTTTTTCTCTTCACCGCTTTGTGTGCCCCCCCGCCCTCCCCCCGCTTTGTGTGCCCGAGGCAAGTGCCTCACTCCCTCACCCTTGTTACGGCACTGCATTCACTCTCCTCTTGTCCACCACAAACCAGTATAGAACTCTGCACAGCAACCTATACAGATAGATGTGTTTTAAAATAATACAATTAGAAGGGGGCAGGAGCAGAACCTAATGCAAAGAACAGCAGTGAATTTCTGACAGCTGCATAGAGGCTATTGCTCAAAAAGTAGCAAATGGAGACCAAGAACCGTACTGAAGTTTGAACAGCTAAGACTGGTCACTGAAGTCCATTGGCATGAGCCAGTTTTTTAAACGAATGTAAAAGGACATCTTTTTTCCAATGGAAACAATCATAAGGGACGAGTGAGGAGCACAGAGGCAGTCAAACCATGGCATGACTAAAATACAGGGCAATGAGAAAGATGTTATAGAATAGAAACAAGTTCACTTGAGGCCTGACCCTATTCTCATTAAAGTCCATAGCAAAACTCCCATAGAGCTCAGTGGGTGCAAATCATGGCACTGACAACTCAGAATTGTAGAGCCCTCTAAAGAAGTGTGGAAATATTGGAGAACATGTGAGAACTGAAAATGCCCAGATTCCAGAGATCTATGAAGGAGCAGAAGTCTTTGATCTAACTAGCGCCACCTGTCAACACATTACAATTGTGTAGTCATTAACATTCAAGAAGCCCCTACATATAGAGCAGTGCTTTAGGGTAGCAGTTTTATTAAATCTTAATTACAAAGAAATAATTCTCACCCCTAAAATTGCTAGAGGAAGTTAAAGTGGACCCCTAAAATTCTGCCATGAATACTTGGTTTGATACAAGGACACATCTTTAGGAATGGAAAATATTCAGGGCTTGATTGTTCTCTGATTTACATCAGTGTGAGAGAAGAATGCAGTCCTTACTATAAGTGCTGGACACTTGTATTATATTGTTTTTTAGATTCAAAGTTGAAAACTTATATTACTGACAGCTTTTTTTCCGGGTTAATTGTTGTTGCTCATTAAAGTCATAACGATGAGGGGGATGCTGGTTTCGCAGACACATCCTTACACATTGCTTTTTTGTTAGAATCTAGAGTTTATATTCACTTTTTTGTTAATGTTAAAAATATTTAGCACTTACTGCAACTCATCTGAAAGCTGTGTACTAGTATTCTCTTTTCTGAACTGAGTCTGGCCTGGCTGGACTTGTGAGTTTCCGCCAGGGGGGCATTCCTAAATAAACTTATAATTTACATTTTCCCAGTTGAGTTTATACATACAGGCTCTTGCTGTATAACTTTGCCAGAAAGCCAAGTTGTTTGTTGTCTTTGTTCGACTGATCTCTTGACTATAACGTGTTGCAGTTAATAAACAGAGAAGTTTGCAAAAGAGAAATACAATAAATATGATGCGAGGGGTGAGGGTATCTGTTTAAGGGCGCTGTGATCAAGGCGCATTATGGACTCTCCCCTGCCCCCTCGCAGCCCCAGGAGAGGTGGTGGGCGGGGCAATTGTCCAGGCCCCTCCCCCTACAGCCCGGAGACAGGCGGTGGGCGGGGCAGTGCTCCAGGCCCCTCCCCCTACAGTCCGGAGACAGGCGATGGGCGGGGCAGTGCGCCAGGCCCCGCCCCCTACAGCCCGGAGACAGCGGTGGGCGGGGCAGTGCTCCAGGCCCCGCCCCCTACAGCCCGGAGACAGGCGGTGGGCGGGGCAGTGCTCCAGGCTCCTCCTCCACGCTGTCCCCGCGCTGCCCGCCAAGCCGAGGGCCGGGAGTTCGCTCTGAGGCGCTGCCTGGGCGCGGGTGTCGGGATGTTCCAGGGCCGCAGCGCCTGGTTCTCGCAGAGCGTCAGCCGGGAGCTCCGCGATTTGTGGGGTGAGGGGGGGCCTGAGCGGCCAGTTATTCTGGAGCCCTATGGAGTCCCCCCCAGGAGGGAACCGCTCACCGGCGGCGCGGCTGGGGCCGGGGCCGGGTCCCTGCAC